GTTCAGCAGCCAAGCCAGCCGCCGTCAGTCACCCCCTCGCCTTGGCTCACGAGGATCTGCAGCACCTTTGGGGCTAGCTGCTCATCCTCTGCTCAGACCTCCTCTCTTTATGATCTTGACAAGATACTGAGCAACCTCAAAACAGAAGACTGAGGAAACTAATCAAATCATCAGCAAGTGCTGACCTGGGTTTCAGTTTCAAGCAGGGGAAGATTCCTTTAAAGCATCCAGCACTACACCAAGAGATGCCCTCCTAAGCCTCTGCTGAGGAGAGATGATTATAACCATGGAGAGGCTAAACTTGCTGGTCACCAAGCAGAGACACGGACACCAGCCCACAACCATGTCCAACCTTGCTGCTGGCTCTCCTTGGCCAATACTGCTGACAGCCACCAAACAGTCAGACTCCCACCCTGAACTGGCATCCTGGTCCTGACCAGCCACCAAAATTATCTGCTCGCTCTCTTGCTCACGCACCTCCATCCTTTAAGCAAGATAAATAACCCCAGCAGAAGCTTGCATGTCCAACCTCACCTGCCCCAAGCAGTATGGTGCCCACAGCAAGTGGCTGGAGCATCCCACCTCCCTGAGCAACTCATGACCCCACAAAGCCTCTCCACATCCTCAGGAACAAACACCATTTGCAAGTAGAGAAGGTGCAAGAGGCAAATCTCTAGGCAGAGGAGCAGAGACGAGGAGATCACATCCACCCAGTGGCTTCTGCCTGCTCCTGCGGGGGTGGCTGCTGGTGGGGGACATGAACATGACCCCCACAGAGAACTCGGAGATCTTCTGGCTCTGCCAGGGTGGATGGATTTGCTCTTCCAGCAGGAGAATACAAAGCACCTTCTGCCCACATGCCTGTATCCCTCTGCTCATCCTCCTGTGTCTGTCCTGACTCCGATGAGTGTTAAAGATGGTCTGGAAGTGGCTGGTCCAGCATTGGCTGGACCACAAGGTCCCCTCCGCCAGCAGCACGGCTCTTACCCCACGGCTTTTTTCTCCACACACTGCCTCCGACCTTTCACCAGCAGGACCAACTCTCCCCCAGGAGCCCATCTCCAGCTCTCCATCACCCCTGCCTCCGAAGCTGCCCCACGGCCAATGCGCCAGCTGCATCCCAGGGGATTTGAGAAGGGTTTTTCTGGTGTAAAAAAACAACCCCACAAACCCGCCAGAGAGGAGGGCTCCCCCCAAAACACAGCAACCTCATCCTGCACATCTCAGCAGATCCAGGGCAAGAAAGACGCTCAAAGGAAGCATGAGGCTCCTTTGAAGGGGCTCAAGAAAACAAACCGCTCCTCAACACCACATTTTGCAAACCAAAAGCAAGTCTCCAGCAATGAAATAGCCAAGGAGGAACCAGGCAGGGCTGCCTGACTTTGGTGGGCCCCAGCAAAAGCCCAGGTGGTGATGGGGAGCACTCACCCCCATCGCCCTGGGAGCAGTGCTCACATGTGTATGCTGAGGACCTGCAGGTTTTGAAACCGTTCAGCTTCCTTCCACTTTGCAACAGAAACCACAGTGCAGCACAGGAGCGTTTAATTACAGTTCCAGCTCTGCTAATTATTGCCCAGTCACATTCGTAATCTGCATTACGCCACAGTGCATAATAAGCAGCTCACAGAGATCTCTCTAATAAGCGAGGCGGCTTGATGGGATTTCATATTTCACCCTGCACTGGAACAAACAGAGCCTCGTTTAGCAACCATGGGGAGATGAGGTGGCTCTCCTGCTCCCTCACCCAAAGCTCAAGAGCAAAATAAAAAGGCCCAAGTGCCTCTCCACGGGTGAGAGCAGGAACAGAGCTGCCTCGCTGGGATACATCCAAAAAAAGCCAAAAGCCACACTGGAGGAAGAGGCAGATGGATCAATCCCTGAATTCAGCACCCCCCACATGTATCTTATCTCCTGGTGCCACAGCTTTTCATCCTCCTGCTTTATCAAGCAAGGTCAGGAAATTCACCTGCTGGTGGCTGCAGGACAGCTGGGGGGAGCCACGGTGGCTCTGCTGGCCGTTCTCACCATCACAAGTGCCCAGATCCCTCCACTGGGCCAGAAGCCAAAGGAGATGCTGGCATCGTGGCTGTTGGGCAGCACTATTACCCTCAAGCAGTGGCTTTTGCATCTCCTCCAGCTAGCGAGGATGGAGCTAGAGGAGATCTCCAGCTCCCCAAAGCAAGCCCTGCACCCTCCTGGCTTCCAGCTCCAATGCACACTCCCCCCTGGGCAAATCACTTAACACTTCTGGGCCCTAAATCCCCTTTGCAGAAGGAAAATTTATTTCTCTTTCCTTGCCAGGTGGCTATAAGATTAAATGCTGGTGAGTGCAAACACAGCCACTACATGCTCACTGCTGGAAGGAGCTTATATGTTTCCAGCAGTCCCTCTGCAGTTAGACAGGGTGAAGCTTCCCTGTACCAGTGCTTGCCGTCCGTGTCCGGCCGCCGCTGCCTCCCCTAATGAAAGCCCTTTGTGTTTCTTGTGGAGCCTTTCCCATCATGAGGAATGTGCTTTCACCACTGCTGAGGACGGAAGTGGAACAGAGCCAAGCCCAGGCGGCAGCCAGCACAAGTGCTGCTCAATGGGGAAAAAGCAAATCCACCGAGAGCCTGTGGCAATGCTGACAGTGCCACATGACACAGGTCCTGGGGAAATGGCTCCAGGTGAGTAATTAAAACCTACCCCTCGCCGTAGCCCTCACTCAAAGGTGGCATGGGGTCCCACATGCAAGGAAGCATGGCAGTGGGTGTCAGCATGGGGAGATGCACGCAAAGCAGCTCCTGCCATCTTAGAGCTATGCCAGTGCATCTTCGTTAACATCAGTCACTGTTAAGGGGACTTCACAGCAGCAATAAGCTAATGGGAGAAAGAGAAGAGGTACAACAAAAATGAAAACACTGTACTGATTTTGATGCCAACCCCTAAACCACCCAGACCACCCATTCATATTTATAAGTATTTTGGTTTGCTCCCAATAATCAAAGTCAACCAGGCAAGAAAAGTGCATTTTTCAGCAATAAAAGCCAAGAGGGACACCAAAATCCTGGAGAAGAGCAACCAGCAGAGATATTTGTGGTACATCTACAAGGACAGAGAGGGTGCAAACAACCACGTGGTGTAGGGCACCCACACAGCTGCACCCTGTTTATCAGCGAGGACCTTGCAGTGGTCAGCGCAAGACCACTAATATATCTGAGACAGTGCTAGGCTTCCAACGCATCCCCACATTAATGACCTACGCAGTGCAGTGGCCCATTTTTCTCATCTAGAAGGATCCTTCAACTCCTGCAAATGCAGACAGAAAACAAAAGCCAAGGGGGAGCCTCATTACTGGTCACAAACTCTTAGCTGCCATGTGCCAGGAGGCAAAACATGGACCAAAACTGCCCCATCACAGGAGCATTGCCTGAGGCTGCAGCCAACACTTTCCACGCCATTGCATGTCTCAGCCCAAAGTTTGGGAGCTTTGATGTTGTCAATCTTGTCCTGTTCAGTCACCACATCCCCAACAGCTTTGCTGGGAGCATGAGCTTTCAGCTCCTTGAAGAAAGATAACCAGGGAGCAGATCCATCCAGTTGATGAGCATCTTTGGTGGGCATCTCCAAACCTCAAAACTGCAGCACCCAAGGTGCCTCTACCCCACCACCCACGACCTCAGCAAGGATTTCAGAGAGGAACTGAAGTTTTCTCCAACCTGACCCCCAAAGCTGGGCATGCAGAGGAAATCGCTCTGTTGGCAGCGGTGCCCACCACGCCTACAATTCAATCTTGAATCTACTTGCAAGCATTGCTCAATAAGCTCCAACAAATGCACCCAGAGCTCCCGGTCCCCCAGCAACAACATCCTGATCAGCAACAACATCCTGACACACCAGAGGCACACAACCCCAGGCAGCGTGGGGAAGGCTCCAGGAGACCCCCTCCCCAAATAGCATGGGCAGCAATGAACCCTGACAGCTTTCTGGCTGGATTTGTCTGGATCCCAGCAAGAAAGTAGCCAACAAGAGCTTCCAACAAAACCTTTAATAATGGTGGCACAAGCATCAGGTCCACGGATGGAGCCAGGAGTGTGGTCTGGGGCACCGATCCCAACACTGTTGCCCGTTGCTCTTCCCTCTTGCTAGCCGGAGGCTGAAGTTGCGGACATCAAGATATAAAAAAAAGAAATCTGTTTTAGAAGAAAGTTTCCCTTCCCTGGAAAAATGCCAGCTTAAATAAACAAAGCCAGTTATTTCTACAG